AGGCAAAAAAAAAAAAAAAGTCACGTTACCTAGGTGCTGGGCCCAGAGTTATGTCACAATCTCCTATATGGAGAAGGCCCAGGTAAAAGAGAAGAGTCACATCAAGTAGTTGATAGGTCCGGAAGTATGTCACAATGCCACTTGTTAACAGGGTCCAGGTAGAAGACTCACATCACCTTGGTGCTGTGGTCAGCAACATGTCACAATGCTTTTTGGGAACAGGAACAAGACAAAAGAGTAATATTACCATGGTGTTGGGCCCAATTATATGTCATAATGTCCCCTGTGGGCAAAACACAGAAAGAATAGAAGAGTCACATCAGCTAGCTGCTGGGCCTTGCAATCTGTTTCAATACCTCTTGTAAGCAGGAATCAGGCAGGAAAAAAGAGTCACATCACCTGTATGATGAGCACAGAGGTATGTCACAATGTACTTTTTAGGCAGGGACTCAGTCATAGAGTTACATCACCTGGGTGTTAGATCCAGCAATATGTCACAATGGCCCATGTGGGCAAGGCACAGGCAAAAGAGTCACATAACCGGAGTGTGACATGCAGTCATGTTGTCACAGTGTTCCCTGTGCGCAGTGCCAAGGGAGGAGAATGGAGTCACATCATCTAAATTCTGAGTTAAGCGATGTGTCACAATCCAATCTGTGGGCTGAGCCCAGGCGGGAGAGTGGAATCACTCAGGTGCTGGACAGAGGCGTATGTCACAATCACAGCTGCAGGAAGGTCCATGAATGAGATGAACCATCCCGCATATGTCCAGGTTCCAGGTATGAGAATCAACAACTCCTTTATTTTGGGTCTATGTTCAGGAGTCACATTTTTGAGACATTTAAGGATGTCTGGAAGAGAATGGTTTCAGGCTGACAAGAGTAGTATATTCTGCTTCTGTCTCGCTTTAAGAGAAATGGGTTATCCTGTGCTTGTTCCTCCTCTCATTCAAGAGATACCTTTGGTTGGTACCCAGATGACAGTTTCTTCAGTTTCCTGGTACTTGAGTGAGAAACATGGAGAAGGTCTGGAGACTCAAAGAGATAAAATAATTGCTTTCATTTCATATGGCTACTCAAAGATAGATGAAGCAGTTGTGGTCCCAACAATCTAGGAAGTTTTAGTCCAGACTAGCAACTACACACATGGTTGAATTAGGCATCATGTGGTTTGTACAATGAATAGATGTGTGCAGAAAAACTTGGACTTTATTTGGTACATGTTCTTTATATTGTTGTCACTTCAGATGTCATCAACTGAAGCGATGTTTATGGACAGAAAAGTTGTTATTAATATTTCTATTTTTTTTTACCTTGCTAAGTACATTATTTATCTTGTAATAAAATTACCCTAGAAAACCTTAAAAGATCTGTTTAAGTTGCTTATGAATATATGTGATCAAATTGACAGGACAGTGACTGAAACAAATTAAAATTACACAAATCTTAAGATTTAAGTTTCTCTTAGGTAAACTTAGGAAAAACAAAATGGAAAACACCCCAGTGGCATAGAGAACAGAATTCTACACAGGGTCCACTTCCTGCCCCAGTTCTCTTCAGATTCACCCTTTATGGGGGCCTTATTTAGGTCAGGTCCCACCCTGGAGTCTTGCCTCACAGAACTGATGAGAAGAGATTAGAGTTTTGGGTGATGAATTCCACTGCCTTTCTAGAGCTAGTGCTCACAATTTTCTGAAATCTAAAAGCAGATAAATGGAAAAAATGTATATATTTTAGGGTCTGATCTTTTAACTGTTAATTAAAACCAGTGTCTGCAGAGACACTCCATTTAGCAACTTGTGTAATATTCCTGCAAACCCAGTAGTTGCCCCCACGAATCACCAAACAATTAAATATAAACACAATACAAACGTATTGCTTAATAAACATTGACTTAGTACACGTGTAAATGTTGTTTTCCAAATACAGACTTATTCACACATCGCTGCCTTCCATTTTCTCTGTAAACTTTAATGAACCAGCAAAAAATGTGATACTTTTGGATAGATATTGGTTGTCTTCCTTTGTACCAAAAATATTTGTGTTGTGACAAGAGTGCCGAGTATAAGGGACTCTGTGCTGTGCCTGCTTTCTCTAAGTAATGCCGATAATAAGCCCAGGAGAACAACATCAGCATTGGCAAGAAACTTGTTTAAAACACACATTCATGGACACTTTCCAGACCTGCAGAATCGCATTACATACAGTAGGGCCAAAAATTGCCAAGTGAGTTAGAAGCTCATTAAAGCCTCAGAGGCAGTGTTTAGCTAAGTGGTTATTAGCACTGGTTTCTAATTAGGATTACATGGCCAATTTGCAGAAATCTCTACTTCTGCCCTCCCCACAGGCTCTATTTATTGTTCTGGAAGCACTCATTTTTTTTTTTTTTTTAATTAAAGGCTTCATGTAACTCTAAGGTGAAGCCAGAATCAAGTACGAGGGGTTCAAGATACATGTGTTAAGTTTCATCTATGCACTAAAGGGTGGTCAGAGTGTTTATTTTGTTTGGATTAGGTAGGGACAGGTCAATGTGGCTAATATTACCATTATTGTAGAAGAAATTGCTGGTGTCTGTGGCTGGGGAGGACACCTGAGGGCAGAAAAGAGAAAACTTATATACTTTTTCTGCATAGAGCAGCTCATTGTTTCTGAATCTCTTCTGTTATAAAGGACAGAAATGTGTGAACTTTTTTGGCATGTCTTGGTCTCCCTGTGGGTGTGGTGGTAGCAGGTAAACAGGTGGTTCTAACACCTTTAAAGGCATATTCTCAAGATGCCGGTAGAATTTGTCCAGAGAATCTTATCTGAGGAGGAATCCCAGAGAGGAAGAAAAAATTAAAAATAAAAGACTTTTTGTTTAATAGATAAATATGTCTCTGATCAAGAGCTGTGTCCACTCTGCCTCCTGAAATGTTATGTGTTTAGTTCTTGCCAAACTTTACTTCTCTACTCGTGCTTGTCCTACCTAACGAGTTTGCTTTAACTACTTTTTAAAATTCTTACGATACTCAAGGGTCTCTGAAAAATATTTCTTTCTTATCTATCAGAACCTTCTCTAAATTCTCTACTTCAAGGTTTCTTCTATGCCGTGCAGAATTCTCACCATGAATTTATGATCTGCAATATTAAAAATGTTCTTTTTATGGCTGTTAAATATAGGAAGATGTAGATACTCAAGATTCATATTGGGGAAAAGCTGTGGCCCTTAGTAAAGATGGAGAACATGTAATGTGGAGCTTCTATCTGTGTCCGTTAGCTCTATGCAGAACAGAATTAAGAAAATGCTTATGTAAACTGGATGACAATTATTAGCCAGAAAGCTCTGAAAATAATATTAGAAGATATCTGTTCTCTATGGTGCTAAAGAAAGACTACTTAAAATCACTATTAAAACTGCAGAATATGAGATGTATTTGTATCTTGAATTTTGCATAAAACTGATGTTACTTTATAGTTAAATTCAGACTGTAACTTACTTTTGGAAGGCACTATCCCAGAAGTGATGCTCTGTTCTTCTGCGTGTATCAGCAAATAATAAAAATTTGTCCAAGTTCAATTGATGTTAATTATTCACTTGGTTAAACAGCTCTCTGACACACCAGGCACGGTGGCTCACTCCTGTAATCCCAGCACTTTGGGAGGCAGGTGGATCAACTGAGGTCAGGAGTTCGAGTTCAACCTGAGCAATATGGTGAAACCCCATCTCTACTAAAAATACAAAAATTAGCCAGGCATGGTGGCATGCACCTATAGTCCCAGCTGCTTGGGAGGCTAAGGCAGGAGAATTGCTTGAACCCAGGAGACAGCCATTGCAGTGAGTGAGACTGTGCCACTGCATTCCAGCCTGGGGGACAGAGCGAGACATCATCTCAAAATGAGTAAGTAAATAAATAAATAACTCTCTGACATAATTTTTCACTATAGAGTTAATTATTTTTCTCTTTATCATTAAGTATCTTTATGTAGGTGTTGTGCATAAACCATCACATTTAATCTGGCAGCTACACTTTTGTCTTAGATTTTCCTTGTGTATATCCGTCTTTGAAAAATGAAGGCTCTCATCTCTGGTTACAGGCCAGAAAAACTGGGAAAAACGGCCAGGTGCAGTGGCTCATGCCTTTAATCCCAGCACTTTGGGAGGCTGAGGCAGGTGGATTACCTGAAGTTAGGAGTTTGAGAGAAGCCTGACCAACATGGTGAAACCCCATCTCTACTACAAATACAAAACATTAGCTGGGCGTGGTGGCATGTGCCTGTAGTCCCAGCTACTTGGGAGGCTGAGTCAGGAGAATGGCTTGAACCTGGGAGGCGGAGGTTGCAGTGAGCCGAGATCATATCATTGCACTCAACCCTGGGCGACAAGAGCAAAACTCCGTCTCAAAACAAACAAATAAACAAAAAACTGAGAAAAACCATGCTCCTACACTTACTGAATGTTTGACAAAATATTATTCTTCGGTCAAAAACAGGCATTACTGGTGAGCTTCTCAGAAATTCAGAAACTCAGATTTATTCCAGATCTTCTAAAATAAATACGCATAACAAGATCTCCAGCTTATTGTACACATTAAAATGTGAGAGGCACCTTCTAACTCAATGTGTCTTTTTGATCTGAAAAATATAAACAACTCATTCTGTGTGACGTGAGTATAGCAGTCAAAAATTACATGTCTGTGTTCATGCCCTTAATTTTATACTTTTATTATCCAGAAAAGTATCTTACATACACTGGTGTTGTGGATCTTATGCCATTTTGTTTTCTCAGAGTTATAGAATACATTAGAGAATATTTATGTGTTGAAAATTATTCTATTGGATAATATTCATCTTCCTATAAGTTAGAATCCATTCTCTTTACTGTCATTTCACATTGAGTCAAATAAAAAATTCTGCCCATGGCCACATGGTAAATATATGCATTTCTGTGTGTGCCTGCGTGCGTGTGTGTGTGTGTGTGTGTTTCAGGGACCATTGACATTTAGGGCTGTCACCACATAATTTTCTCTGGAGGAGTGGCAATGCCTGAATACTGCTGAGCAGAATTTATATAGAAATGTGATGTTAGAGAACTACAGAAACCTGGCCTTTCTCGGTGAGAATAATTTCAATAAACAATTCCTATTATACCCTAAATGTTTCATTTCTCTTTTCTGTAGAATATGTTTTAGTAATTTATGCTTTGCATACAAGAGTTTCAGATCCCTGTTTTCTGAAAACAGAGATCTGTAAGTGTAGATAGGAATTTATTCAAGATGTTTTATTTTTACCTGAACTATCCACATTCCTGAGCTGATCTGTATCTTTCACTGTATATTAGTAGTAATTCCAGAAATTTAGTGGCATAAAATATTGTTGCCCACACCTTAAAATCTACTTGCCACAACCAATTTGTGATTCAGTAGTACGGGGTAGTAAAATTAAGAACCTACAAATTGAAAATGTTTTCTAAATATTTAGAAATTTCTGTTATAAATGTTTGTGTATTAATTTACTAGAATATTCTGTTACTTTCTTTTTTTTTTTTTTTTTTTGAGATAGAGTCTCACTCTGTCACCCAGGCTGCTGGAGTGCAGTGGCCCAATCACACCGCTCACTGCAGCTTTGACCTCCCGGCTACAAGCAATTCTCCTTCCTCAGCCTCCCGAGTAGCTGAAATTACAGGCATATGCCATCACACCTGGGTAATTTTTTGCATTTTTAGTAGAAATGAGGTTTCACTGTGTCAGCCAGGATGGTCTCCATCTCCTGACCTCATGATCTGCCCACCTCGGCCTCCCAAAGTGCTGGGATTACAGGCATGAGCCACCATAATCTGGCCATATTCTATTATTTTCTTTTTACTGAGCATGTTATTTGGAGAATGTGAGCAAGATTCATGTTATTTATTTTTAATGAAACAGGTATTGCTGTCTCTAAGCCAGACCTGATCACTTTTCTGGAGCAAGGAAAAGAGCCCTGGAATATGAAGAGACATGAGATGGCGGAAGAACCCCCAGGTAGGTGAGAGTGAATACAATGGACAACACAGATGAAAGGTTTAATGTTTAAGAAGCCAGTTCTCAAAATGTGATCTGAGAAGCTGTGCTCCAAAGGTAGTAGTTTCTGGGAAGCCTGAGATTTTAAAAATACTTCTGTCACGTAGGGGCATCTTCTATCCTACGCTTTAAAATTCTCTAAGGATTCTACTTTCCCTTCAATGATCTTTCTTCAAGTTTACAGTGACAGCCAAAGTCGTCTTATGGCATAGAAGAAGCTGCACAATCTGACTGTTTTCTGTTGTTACTGGGGACACACAAATATCTGCACAGTTTTGAGAAACTCTATGTTAAAAGAAAAAAAAAAAAACTGGCTTCTTCACCTTACAATTGCTCTCTTATCATGTGATATGTTCAGTTCCTCTTGTCTTCTGCCACAATTGTAAGCTTCCTGAGACCCTCACCAGAAGCAGACAATGGCACACACTTCTTGTACAGTCTGCCAAACTGTGAGCCAAATAAATCTTTTTTCTTTATAAATTATCTACTCTCAGGTATTTTTCTATATGCAAAGCAATTAATAAAGTCTATAATGTTGTCTACATTTTCTGGTTTCTTGTTACTCTTATCTGAATTTTCTATTTATTGAAAATGGGAATCCCAGGACTTTGGGAGGCTGAGACAAGCGGATCACAAGGTCAGGAGATCGAGACCATCCTGGCTAACATGCTGAAACCGTCTCTACTAAAAAAAAAAAAAAAAAAAATACAAAAAACTAGCCGGGCGAGGTGGCGGGCGCCTGTAGTCCCAGCTACCCGGGAGGCTGAGGCAGGAGAATGGCGGGAACCTGGGAGGCGGAGCTTGCAGTGAGCCGAGATCGCGCCACTGCACTCCAGTCTGGGCGACAGAGCGAGACTCCGTCTCAAAAAATAAATAAATAAAATAAAATAAAATAAAATAAAATGGGGTCTTGATGTCTACAACTTTTATGTTGCTATGTATTTCTTGCTTCACTTTTGTCAATATTTATATATTTTGGAGACCCATTTTTATGCATAGACATACATTTAAATTGATATAATAGTTATAGATTCCTGGTAAATTGACCCATTTTACCATTATATAATATCAATCTTTGTTTCATACTCGTACTTGACTTAAAGCATATTTTGTCCAACATAATTATGACCACCTCATCTAATCGTAGCTACTATTTTCATGAAATATAGATTTTTTTTTTATTCTGTTACTTACAGTCTATTTGACTAAGTGCTAAAATGGGTTTATTGTAGAGAACATATTGTATGGTTTTATTCTTAAGCCCCTCAGGCATCTTATTTCTTTTCCTTTTAATTAATTAATTTATGAAATATGGTTCCACTCTCTCAACCAGGCTGGTTTGCAACGGTGTGAACATGGCTGTGAGCTGCAGCCTCAACCTCTCAAACTCAGAAGATCCTCTCATTTCAGCCTCTCAAGTAGCTGGGTTACGGGCATGCGCCATCATGCCCAACTAATTTTCTGTAGAGACTGAGTTTCCTCAAGTTGCCCAGGCTGGTCTTAAACTCCTGGGATAAAGTAATCAGCCCACCTTGGCCTCCCAAAGTCCTGGATTACATTTCATTCTATTAAGTAGTTTAATTAATTTATTTTTAAAATGATTGCTTAAAAAATGAAGCTACTATTATTGTTTTATGTGTTTTTTGTAGATATGTTTTTTTCTCATTTCCTGCTATACTGACTGTATTTTTGTTTAATTTTGTAGTGACATGCTTTGCTTGTTCCTTCATTTTATTTTGCATAGTTTCTATAAAATGTTTGTAATCAGCAGGGCACAGTGGCTCACGCCTGTAATCCTAGCACTTTGGGAGGTGGAGGTGGGCAGATCGCCTGAGCTCAGGAGTTCGAGACCAGCCTGGGCAACACGGTGAAACCCCATCTCTATTAAAATACAAAAAGTTAGCCAGGTGTGGCAGGGTGCACCTGTAGTCTCAGCTACTCGGGAGGCTGAGGAGAATTGCTCAAACTTGGGAGGAGCAGGTTGCAGTGAGCTGACATCTCGCCATTGCACTCCAGTCCAGGAGACAGAGTGAGACTCCATTTCAAAAAAAAAAAAAGTTTGTAATCATCTTGAAAAATGGACATTATGTAAAACATCTGAAAGTTAAAACAGCATGTTTTAATTTCATAACAACTTCAACTGAATACAAAAACTATACCTCTATTTTTCCAGTTTGTTATAAATATTTTAGTATTACAAATCATACTATTTTATATCGTGTATCCACAGATTTATACAGATTTATATTTTGTTTTATATATTCTGTAGAAAATTTTTAAGGGTTTTATGCACCATCATTATGACAGTAAAGAATTCTAGGCTGGGCGCGGTGGCTCAAGCCTGTAATCCCAGCACTTTGGGAGGCCGAGACAGGCGGATCACGAGGTCAGGAGATGGAGACCATCCTGGCTAAAACGGTGAAACCCCGTCTCTACTAAAAAATACAAAAAAACTACCCGGGCGAGGTGGCGGGCGCCTGTAGTCCCAGCTACTCGGGAGGCTGAGACAGGGGAATGGCGTAAACCCGGGAGGCGGAGCTTGCAGTGAGCCGAGATCCGGCCACCGTACTCCAGCCTGGGCGACAGAGCGGATCGTTCAAAAAAAAAAAAAAAAAAAAAAATTCTACATGTCTCTGTATATTTACCTTAATAGCTGGCACAGTGGCTCATGCCTGTAATCCCAGCACTTTGGAGGCTGAATGGTCTGAATCAGGTGGATCACAAGGTCAGGAGATCTAGGCCATCCTGGCTAACCACGAATGAAACCCGTCTCTGCTAAAATACAAAAATAGCAGGGTTGGCAAGCACCTGTAGTCCCGCTACTCTGGAGGCTGAGGCAGAAGAATCGCTTGAACCCGGAAGCAGAGGTGCAGTGGCTTAGATGTTGCCACTGCACTCCAGCCTAGGTGACAGAGTAGACGCCATCTCAAAATAAAAAAATAAAAAAATTAAATATTTACATTCAACAAGAGGCTATTATATATATATGGTTTTTTTTTTTTTTTTTTTTTTTTTTGAGACGGAGTCCGGCTCTGTCGTCCAGGGGCTGGAGTGCAGTGGCCGGATCTCAGCTCACTGCAAGCTCGCCCTCCCGGTTTACGCCATTCTCCCTGCCTCAGCCTCCGGGAGTAGCTGGGACTACAGGCGCCCGCACCTCGCACCGGGCTAGTTTTTGTATTTTTAGTAGAGACGGGGTTTCACCATGTTAGCCAGGATGTCTCGATTCCTGACCTCGTGATTCGCCCGTCTCGGCCTGCCCAAAGGTGGGCTGGGATTACAGGCTTGAGCCACCGCGCCCGGCCTATATATGGTTTTATGATACTGTCCAACATCATTTTATTTTTCAATGTAAAGGACTCATTTAGTATTTCTCTTGTTTTTTATGCAGAGCCTCACTATTTTGCTCAGGCTGATCTCTGGGTCTCAAGTGATCTGACTGCCTTGGCCTCCTAAAGGTGTAGGGTTACAGGCATGAGCCACTGTGCCTGGGTATCATGCGGCACCTTTTTTTTTTTTTTTTTTTTAGATGAAGTCATCGCTTTTTCACCCAGGCTGGAGTACATGGCTCAGTCTAGGTCACCACAACTTCTTCCTCCCGAGTTCAAGTGATGTCTCCTGGCCTCAGCATCCTAAGTACTGGGTTTACAGGTGGTGTTGCCACAACACCCGGCTAATTTCTTTTTTGTATTTTTAGTAGAGATGGGTTTCACCATCGTTTGGCCAGGCTGGTCTTGAACTTCAAGTGATCTACCTTCCTTGGCCTCCCAAAGTGCTGTGGATATAGGTGCAAGCCAATGTGCCCAGTCGATGTCTTTCTTTCCTGCTTTTCTTCTTTCTTCTTTCTTTTTCTTTCTTTCTTTCTTCTTTCTTCTTTTCTTTCTTTCTTTCTTTCTTTTTCTTTCTTCCTTCCTTCCTTCCTCTTCCTTCCTTCCTTCCTTCCTTCTTCTTCCTTCCTTCCTTCCTTCCTTTTTTCTTTCTTTCTTTCTTTCTTTCTTTCCTTTCTTTTTTCTTTCTTTCTCTTTTCTTTCTTCTCTCTCTCTCTCTCTTCCTTCCTTCCTTCCTTCCTTCCTTCCTTCCTTCCTTTTCTTCTTTTTTTTTTTGATGGAGTGTCGCTCTGTTGCCCAGGTTGGAGTGCAGTGGTGTGATCTCAACTCACTGCAACCTCTGTCTCCTGGGTTCAAGCAATTCTCCTTCATCAGCCTCCTGAGTAACTGGGATTACAGGTGCCTGCCACCACGCCCAGCTAATTTTTACATTTTTAGTAGAGATGGGGTTTCACCACATTGGCCAGGCTGGTCTCAAACTCCTGACCTCAGTTGATCTCCCTGCCTCGGCCTCCAAAAGTGCTGAGATTATAGGCGTGAGCCACCGCTCACGGCCAGCATTTCTTTTAGAAATGTGCTAGTGCTGATGAACACCATTACTTTTTTGTTGTGGAAAGTCTTTATTTTTTCTTGTTTTTAAAATATAATAATTCCTAATCAAGTATTGTTGATATTTTTTATTTTATTACATCAAAACTTGGGAAGTTCTTAGCTTTTTGTTTTTGTTTTTTGGTTTTTTTTTTTGGTTTTGTTTTGTTTTTTTTGAGATGGAGTCTCTCTCTGTTGCCAGACTGGAGTGTAGTGGCTCCATCTTGCCTCACTGCAACCTCCACCTCCCTGGTTCAAGCGATTCTCCTGCCTCAGCTTTGGAGTAGCTGGGACTACAGGCATGCGCCACCATATCCAGTTAATTTTTGTATTTTTAGTAGAGAGAGGGTTTCACCATATTGGCCAGGATGGTCTTAATCTCTTGACCTCATGATCCCGCTCATGTCGGCCTCCCAAAGTGCTGGGATTACTGGTGTGAGCCCCTATGCCAGGCTGGCTCGGAGTTTTTTTAATCTTCAAGTAACCTGTGTACTACTTTTTTTCTATATTCGTCTTCTAAGATTCTGCTCATGATTAGGTTGATCTATT